GTTGCTCTAAGTGGTGTCTTTCTGGAAAGTAACACATTTCCAAAATGACAAGTGGGAGGAAAATGAACTCGATGACCATAGAGATTAGCAACAAACTAGAATTGAGAATCTCAAAAGACTTTAGAAGGGCTTCATGAGAATGATTGATCAAGAATACTCAAAGGACTTTCCTAGAACAACACCTACCCAACTAATGCTCGTATGTGATGAGCTACGCCAAAGCGAGGCATCACTACTTCCCTAGGAACGTAAGGTACACTAGGTATACAAGTTGATCTTGGTTAAGCTCAACGATATCAGTAAGGAGTCCTTAGATGTCGTGGCAAAAGAGATAAAACGTCAAGAATGCATTAGATGCAACGTTGCATCAAACCGAGAGTAGCTTAGAGCTATTAGAAATTGGATTGCTTACCCTAAAATATTAAGTGGTAAGACAAGGCAAAGCATGCTTAATCACTTTTTAATTTTTGGGATCTTGGAATCATTTTATTCTCGCCAAAAGGGACAAATTATTAATGCGTGGATAAAATGCTCAATAAGATTGACAATTTGCATGAACGCTTTTAAATTTCAAACTTATTGGTTTATGAATGGTTTTTCATTTCAAATTCTTTCAATTGTAGAACAATGTCTGCAAGTAACTCAAACAACAATTCTATGTGCCCGGAAATCCCCGACAAGTTGGCTTTTAGCCTTAACTTGGTCAACTTCAAGGACTGGGAGGAGGAACTCAGGAAAACTCTTCAGAATTGTTCCTTGTAGTACCCTCTTGATACTCCCACTCCAAGCTTCTTCTCTAAGGGGATCATGACCGATGAGGCTCATGAAGAATGGTCTTCCAACTACAAGAAAGTCTCACGACTTATGGCTAATTCCATCCCGGAAGATTGAAAGGAAAGCCTTTCCTCCTACCTTCCGGACATGTTCCTCAAAGCCCTTGAGGACGTTGTCAATGTGATAGTCACCAAGAGTTACAATGGAAACTATGATGGACTCGTGTTTGATTTGACTAGGTCACTCCCAAACATGAAGATAAAGCCACCGAATGTGGGATGTCTTGCTAAGGAAAGGCGTCGGCTTTGGAAAAAGGTCTGCACTACCAAATTGAGACCCGGCATGCCCCTCCGACCTCATGTGCTTGGAATGACTAGGCTCTTTAAACACATGCAGCTTCTCGGAATCTCATTAGAGGATGAGATTGCGAGGCATATCTTGCTTACTTCGCTCCACTCGGGCTATGATGCACTTAAAATGAATATAGTTGTGGGAAAGGAGACACGCTCTTTAATGGAGGTGGTGCAACTACTGAGCCAAGCCACCGCCTATGGAGTGACCGAGAGGCCCTTGAGAGCAAGGAGAAGGGAGTTCAAGAACAAGGCAAAGATGTGGTGCTTCTATTGTGGTGGACAAGGCCACTATAAGAGGGAACACAAGCTCTTTCGAAAGGAGGAGGAGGAGAGGAATGTGGCATATGCCTCAGGTATCTTAATTAACACTTGTTTTTAAAGCTATTCATAGGTATTGGATACCACATATGATTCACTTTACGTTGCCTTTTTCAGGAACCAAGTGTGAGGGCTTCACAAGTGGATGTGCAACTACGAGCGGACGACGGAGATGGTCTATTGGTCGTGCTTGTAGGCACATTTATTTTGTATATAATTTGTAATTAAACTAATCTTAGTTTCATCATGCTTTTGAACATACTGTGATCTATGGTGTTGGACACCAAGTTATTTTGATCGTAAGACTTTGACAATAGTTGTTTCAAATGTCTTGTTTATATATGTTCAATGGAAATTGCATGTTTTTAAATATGATTAGACAAATGTTGATACCGCTGACAAAACTAAGACAATTCATTACCTTCACCGACGGCTATAGTAGATATGGTTATGTCTACCTTATGTCGAATAAATCTGAATCCTTTAAGAAATTCAAAGAATTTCAGAGTGAAGTTGAGAATCAACTTGGCAAGAAGATTAAAGGACTTCGATCAGATCGAGGTGGCGAATATTTGAGCCATGAATTCGACGATCACTTGAAAGAAAATGGTATTCTTTTAGAGCTGACACCTCCTGGAACTCCTTAATGGAACGGAGTATCCGAAAGGAGAAATCGAACCTTATTAGACATGGTTCGATCAATGATGGATCTTAGTGAACTTCCTATCTCTTTTTGAGGACACACACTACTAACTGCGGCACTAACAGATTTGGGAAGTCGGATTAATTTATCACAATGACGTGTAATGCAAATTGGCCGAAGATTAAAGCTTAGCTTTCCCCCGGGGAAATTGCACATGAAAGACCAGATTTAGTAGCTCGGGTATTCAGAGCAAAATTATTAGCTCTGAAGAAGCAAATTATGGAGATTAAGGTATTTGGTGAGGTAGTTGCACTAATTTATGTTGTGGAATTCTAGAAAAAAGGGGCTACCTCACACTCATATTTTATTTTTTATGAAGCCGGTGTTCAAATTAAAAACTCAAGATCATTATGACAAGGAGGAATTCTTTGTTCCTCATTGTGAGAAACATAAGATTTTCTCATAATGGCAATTCTGAAATTAAAGTTATGTTTTTCACTTCCTGAGATGCTGAGTCGGATTCGCCTATGTGTCAATTTGCTGAGTGGTGCTGAGTGGGGACATCCTTGTATCAATATTTTTGAGGGATGGCGTTACGTTGTTGAGGTTTGGCGGGCAAGTCTTCACACATCTTCACACCATCTTCACACATCTTTGAGTTGAATAAATTCCAAACCTAATTTCCAGACCCAGTTGAAAAAAACGCACATCTTCGAATTAGCAGGTAGTTTTCTGTTCTCTTTCTTCGTCGCTTCTTCTAGTCGTAAGTTTTGATCTGTTCTAGGGTTTTGATTTGTTCTTCTCTTGATGCGCCAACATTCACTACAAGAAATAGGCCGGATTCCGACGGAAACGTTGCGACGGACTTAAATTCCGTCGTAAAAGGTAAGTTACGACGGAAAATCCCTTGGAAATATTCCGAAGGATTTTTTTCCCTCGAAAAAAACAGCTTCCGATGGAATATCCCGTTGGAAGCCGTATATTCCGAGGGAAAAATTCCGTCGGAATAAATAAAAATAACAAAGAACCAAACCCTAGCTATAGTTCCGATGGATTTTTTTTCCGTTGGAAATTTTCCAACGGATTTTGATCATTTTCCGACGGATTTTGATTTTAAAAAAAATAGAAAAAAATAAAAAAAAAACTAAAAAAACCCTAATTCAGATTCCCCCCCACCCCTTCATTTCCACGCCTCTCTTTCTCTCTCCTCTCCTCTTTCCCCTCTCATTCTCTCTCCTCTCCTCTTTCCCCATCTCTCTCCTTCCTCTTCTCCTCTTCGTCCTCTTCTCCTTCCTCATTGTTTCTTTTTCTTCTCTTCCCTTTTCCGTCCTCCTTCTTCTCCTTCCTCTCTCTTTCTTCTTCTCTTCTTCCCTTTTCATGGTTTTTTTGGTTTTTCTCTTCTTTCCTCCTTCATTCTTTTGGGGGTTTTGGTTTTTCATGGTTTTATTGGTCAAATTCGACCATGAAACCTCTAGATCTAGAGGTTTCATGGTCGAATTTACCCATATTAAACCAAATTCGAGGTGACATTCAAGCCAAACTCTATTTAAAGGTATGTTTTATTTTTATTTTTTTTATTTTAAACATTGTTCGTTGCGATTGTGGTTGTGGTTTTGGGCGATTGTGGGTAGTTTTTGGGCGATTGTGGGTGGTTTTTTGGTGGGTATGATGGGTAGTTTTGGGGTACGGGTTAGGGTTTGGTGGGTGTTGGTTAAATGGGTCTAGGTGAGGTGTGGCGGTGGTGGTATTTTTGGAAGGTTTCGGGTTGTGGGGTTGTGTGGGTTGGTGGGTTGTCCGGTTTAGTTGCTGGGTGTGGGTGGGGGAGGGGGGCAGGGGGTGGGGTGGGCTGAGTAGGGGGTGGGGTGGGGTGGGCTGGGTAGGGGCAGGGGATAGGGTTGTAGGGGGTGGCGATGGGTGTGGGTGTGGGTCAGGGTGGGGGTAGGGGGTGGGCTGGGCTTGGGTGAGGTGGGCTGGGCTGGTAGTGGTGTGGGCAGGGGGCAGGGGATGGGGTTGTAAGGGGTGGCGATGGGTGTGGGTGTGGGCTGGGGGGCAGGAGCCAGGGGGGCAGGGGGTGGGGTGGGCTGGGATGGTGGTGGTGTGGGTAGTGGGCAGGGTTGGGGTTGTAGGGGGTGGCGATGGGTGTGGGTGTGGGTGGGGGTGGGTCTGCATTTTTTTTTATTTTCTTTTATTGACTTTTGCGACGGAATTTACCACTTCCGACGGAATTTTCCGTCGGAAATTTGCGACGGAATTCCAAATAAAGTCAAAAACAGCGCCGACATAATTAGATCCGTCGGAAATTCCGTCGGAATAACGCCTTCCGACAGAATTTCCGCCGGAAAAGGTCGAATTTCCGACAAGGGCTGTTACGACAGTCTGTCTCCGACGGAATTCCTTCGGAAAGCCTGATTCCGACGGAATTTCCTATGTTTCCGAAGGAATTTTTCCGTCGGAATTCAGCAGTTTTCTTGTAGTGTTTCATAAAATTGAATTCATAATTGCGACCGAAATCATAATTTTTTTGAATGTAATGGTATTATGAGGTTGAATGCCTCTGTTAAAATGGGTTTGAGGTTGCTGAAAATGGCCGAATGATTTTATTTAAAATGCAATTTTTACTTTTTGATAATGTGTTGTCTTCGTATGCTGTGAAACAAATCCCTCTAATGATTTGTGTTAATTTTTGAAAATTGGTAATTATTACTTTGTTGGTTGTTCAATTGGTTGGTTGATTTTTGTTGGTTGGTTGTATTTCTGTGTTGGGTTGAATTTGTGCTGTGAAAACGTGTTGATTGGTTGATTAACAAAGCTATGACTGGTTTAATTTGTATAATAATTATGTGTTGGTGTTCTGTATTAATTTGTATCGTATTTATGTTTGTGTTCTGTATTTGAAGGGTGAATTGTTTTTGATGGAGAAGACTGATATTACGACTGATATTATGGAAATGGAAACTGAAGGCGTTATAAGGGGCAGTGAGGTTGGTGTTGGTGATTATGGCACTGTGGTTAAGTTTAGGAGTAATGTTGAAATGGAGGAGGGCAATGATATGGAGGGTATAGAAGACATAGTTGTTATAGATAGTTGTGCTGAGGATGTTGGTAAAGTTAGTGTAGGTGCAGTTGACATGAATGTTAGGTATTAATCCCCCGTGGAAAAAATTCAAACGACTAACACTGTGTTTGGTAGCAACGAAATGAGTTTAATTGTTAAGGAGCCTAAGGAAGGGATGGTTTTTTGGTCTTGGCAAGAGGTTGAAGCCTACTATAAGGAGTATGTTGAGCAGATGGGGTTTGGAGTGTCAAGGGTTCAAGGTGTAAATTCTAAGACGGCGGACAAACAAAGAATTGTAAACACGTGGAAATGTGAGTGTTGGGGAAAACCCGACATGAGGGCTAGGAGGGAAGCGAATAAGAGGGCAAAGGCAATGAGTGTTGGAGGTTCAGGTGGTTTAGTTGATGGGGTGGTATGTGAAGATGAGTTAAGTCGTAGGAAGAGGACTTCGAAAAAGTGTGAATGTGAGGCCTGTGTTTATGCTAAAGTTATGAAGATTGCTTGTGGGTGTTGAAGACCGTGCACTTAAAGCATAATCACAAGATTAATCCGGCAAATTCTAAGCTTGTGAAGGAGTACCGCATGAAGCAAATGACCTCAAAAGTAAAGAAGAAGTTGATGGATTTCTATGAGCAAGGCGCACCAATTTCTCAAATACACGGTTGCATGGCAACCGAACGAAACCGTAACATGGCTCTCACCATCAAAGATTTACAACATGAGGTGTACAAGGCTAGGCGGTTGAAGATGGTTGGAGGGGACTCGGTGGCAATCATGGAGTACTTAGAAAAAATGCAATCCGGCTACCAAATATTTTTCCATGTTCAATGTTTGGATGAAGAAGGGAGACTTAAGGATGTGTGTTGGGTGGATGCAAGAAGTAGGTTAGCTTATGAGGACTTTGGTGATGTAGTTTGCTTCGACGCAACATACCTAACAAACGAGTACGAGCTCCCATTTGCGAACTTTGTTGGTGTGAACCATCATGGGCAATCGTTGTTGTTGGGATGTGCTCTTGTTTCACATGAAGAATGAGATACATTTGCGTGGATATTTCGACAGTGGCTAGCTTGCATGAACAACTCAGCTCTAAAAGCCATTTTGACCGACCAAGCAGCAGCTATGTGAAGGCCCCTAGCTGAAGTCATGCCAAACATGATGCATCGTTGGTGCATATGGCATATCATGAGCAAGATCCCTGAGAAACTTAGCAAGTGTTCATAGTATGTTGTGATATTCCTCCTGCCTTATAAATTTGCTATGTTGAATACAAATCTCTACAAGGGGGGCAGGGGGGGGGGGTTGAATAAAGGATGACAACTTTTCGCAAATATAAATCTCAAGGTCTTGAATTAGTTTCAAAGGCGGAATAAACTGATTCACTTATTAAAATTGAGACTTTAAAATTCAATTCAAAGCTGATAAACAGGCTTTGACTTTTCAACAGATTGTAAAATTGCGAGTTAAATTGAAAACAAACAATGTTTCCAAATAACCTGCTGTTCTGCTGCTATCTATTCTAACCTTGCTTATTTTTGTCTAGTTACCAAGAGTTCATAAACCCCCTCAAAGAGCTAGTGTATGAGAGCTTTGACCCCAAAGACACTAGTAGAAAAAAAGAAATAGGCAACCCCCCTATGGCAACGTTTCATGAAAACCGTTGCCAACTTAAGTGAGCGCCATTTACAAAAAAAAAAAAAAAAATTGGTTACATTTGGCAACGGTTAATCGTTGCCAATTGATTAAATTAAAAAAAATAAATAAATAAAAGGGGTAGATTTGGCAACGGTTAACCATTGCCAATTTAAAAATAAAAAAACCGGGTTTTTGAATACATGCAGCTACTATGCAAATGTTCTTCTTTCACCTCGGTTTTTGCTTTCACCTCCAAAAACGCGCGTCTTCCCTCTCCCCAAACCATTCCTCCATTGAAGCTTCCATTGAAGGGTCCATTGAAGCTTTTTCCTCCTCACGCACGCAGTGGGTCTGGGTTTGTTCTTCTGCCTCCCTCACGCACGCACTCAACTCTTCTCTTCTGCCTCCCTCCATATATGCTTGCATTATTGAAGTATGTAGCAGCTCCTCCATTGTTATAGCGCTCCTCATTGCTAGGTAAGTCGTAATAGCGCTCCTCCATTGTTATGGTTTTTGGGGAATTGGTCTTTAGTTAATATTGACAAGTTTCTTGTAATTGCTAGGGTTTGTCAATAATTGCTACTTAACTCCTCCATTTATACGCGCAAGGCTCAGCTCCCCCTCCATTGAACGCATAAGGCTCCCCCTCAACAAATGTAAGGCCTTTTTTAGTTGTTATTGTTGCTGTTTATAAGCTGAGTACAAGCTACATTTACCTATATTTCTAAATTGTTATGAGAACTTTATTTATCATCACTAATAAAGTTGAGAATTTTATTTTGTTTATAGGATAATTTAGTCCTTTTTATTTAAGAGAACAAAGTTGAGAGTTTAGGGTTTAGGGTTTAGGGTTTAGGGTTAAGGGTTTAGGGTTTAGGGTTTAGGGTTTATGGTTTGAATATACTTTTCTTTATGAGTTGCTTCTCACTATATATATGCGTGTTTCAGGCTAAGAAATGGGTGTCAAGGGCTTCTAGGGTAAGATCATCAGTTTGGAGAGTGGGCGGAAAACATCCTGGTATCTTACTCTGACTGTCCTTGTTCTTGCTCACTAATATCATTCTTATCTTTTCCCTTAATCTGGTTTTCTATTTGTGTTCTGTATAGGTTACACTGAAAAAGATTATCAGGAGTTTTTGGGCGAAGCATAGACCTTGGCATTGACCTTCTATTTGAGATTGTTGAGCCTTTATAGGTTTTCAGGTATATATATATATAACTTTATGTGCTTTAAATAAGTTCTTTGTTGCACATTTTTGTGGAGATGGTGTGTGATATAACTTTAGTGCATCTTCTATCATGATGTGTGATTAATCCATTGTTTTTTAATTGATTGCATGTATCATAATATGCCTAAATACCCGTTCAAGGCTTTTTCATTAGGAGAAAGTCTTGAATAGTCCCCGGTTGGGACTGTTCTTGAACGTTTACTCTCACTTAGGTGGTGAATGTATGTCAGTATTTTCGATTTTAAGGAACATCTTGGATTAGCATTTCCTAGATCACCATGTTCTCTGGGTACATATGTGGGTAAGTAATTACCTACGTCGTGTACTTGGAGAACTGGGGGGAAATGCTGCCGGATTTTCCTTAAAATTGGAAATCTGATATACATTCACTAGTGAGAGTAAACGTTCAAGGATGGGTTAGGTTGGAGTGATAAGGACCCTTTGGAAGCATATATGCATTTTTGTATCTATATGAATGATATATGCATGTTGTGTGTTTGAATTTGATTTGTATATATAATAGATGTAGCAATTATACATTATTCGTAATATGTTGCCATGTTTAGAGACAATTTACTTAATGGAGAAGGATTGTGGATGGATGTATGGTAGACGTGATACATTGGAATTCTTTAATGGGGTTCAAGAGTTTTGCGAGACGACTTCATCTTATCAGCGCAGAATGGGTTTCGAGTGCCTCTATTGTCCTTGTGTTGATTGTAATAATGTGAAGGTGGTCAATAGTGTTGATATCATTAGAGATCATGTAGTTTGTCGTGGGTTTAGGGTTAAATATCATGTGTGGAGTTGGCATGGTGAAGAAGGAGAGTATAGTGGGGATGTTATTGGGTATGATGTGCATGATGATAGAAGCAATGATATTCGTGTGGACGAGGAATACAAGAATGATGAACATATTGTTGATGATGGTGCTGAAGAGGGATTTGAGGATGACCATGTGGATGAGGTTGAGGATGAAGGTGTGGATGAGATGATACGTGGTTTTGAAGGTGACGTATTTGAGTCATTATCGGAGGCTTCTAAAAAGCCTTTGTATCCTGGGTGCAAAAAATACTCCAAACTATCATCCGTGCTAACTCTTTTTAACATTAAGTCGAAGCATGGGTGGACGGACAGTAGTTTTACTTCCTTGTTGAGCGTGTTAAGTGAGATGTTGCCCGATGGGAATGAAATTCCTAAGTCTTACTATTACGCTAAGAAGCTCATGTGTCCATTTGGTTTGGAGTATAAGAAGATACATGCATGTCCTAATGATTGTATTCTTTATCGAAATGAATATGAACAATTGGAGGAGTGTCCAAGATGCAAGAAGTCGCGCTACAAGCGCAAGAGTTGCAATGCGGGTACGAAGGGACCTCCTGCTAAGGTGTTGTGGTATCTTCCCATAATTCCAAGGTTTAAGCGTCTGTTCTCTTTACCAAAAGACGCTAAAAACTTGAGGTGGCATGCAGAGGGAAGAAAGAAAAACAGAATGCTGAAAGCACCTAGCCGACTCCCCGCAATGGAAGAACCTTGATATGAAGTTTGGGGAATTTGGTGATGAAGTTAGAAATTTCAGGCTTGGTTTGTGCATGGACGGGATGAATCCATTTGGCACTCTTAGTACCCAGCACAACACATGGCTGGTACTTTTAGTGATCTACAATTTGCCTCCTTGGTTGTGCATGAAACGGAATTATGTAATGCTTTCACTCTTGATATCGGGGCCAAGGCAACCTTGAAACTACATAGATGTGTATCTTGCGCCATTGGTTGATGATTTGAGAAAGATGTGGGACGAAGGGGTTTCCGTGTTTGATGCTCATAAGAATGAGATGTTCTCATTGCGTGCAGCTCTTATGTGGACCGTTAATGATTTTCCTGCATATGGCAACTTGTTTGGGTATAAGAATAAAGGGAAAAAGGCATGTCCCATTTGTATTGATGATAAGCCAAGCAGACGCCTTGATCATTCTTTCAAACAGGTGTATTTGAGGACAAGAAGGTTGCTCAGGCGCGATCACCCGTATCGTCGGCAGAAAAAGGCTTTCGATGGGACGGTGGAAGAGGGGACTGCTCCTAGGCCACTGACTGGTTAAGGGTGTACGAACAGTATTTGGGAAATCTAAAAAAACGCCGAAATCAGTTGCTCTCTTTAAAAAAGAATCAATGTTTTGGTTGCTCCCGTACTGGAAAGAACCTGACGTTAGGCAATGTCTTGATGTAATGCATATAGAGAAGAATGTGTGTGACGCTCTTGTGGGAACGCTGATGAATATTCAAAACAAGACAAAGGACAGATTGGGTGCACGTTTAGATTTGGAAAAGATGGGGGTGCGTCCAGAATTGTGGGTTCAGCAAAGGGTTAGTAAGGGAAAGGAACAGGAAAAGGAAAAAGAAATGGGTTCGAAAAAGGGAAAGGGGAAGAGCAAGGGAAAGGGAAAGGCCGCGGATGCGTCGAAGAAGAAAAATGAGGGAAAAGCCAAAGAAGGGAAGGCCTATTTACCTCCGGCTTGCTACACATTGTCAAGGGTAGAAAAACGAATATTTTGTGAATGTCTGTATGGCATTAAGGTTCCATCAGGGTACGCATCTAACATGAAAATATTTGTATCCTTAAATGGAGAATTGAAGCTGACAAGTATGAAATTGCATGATTGTCATGTTCTGATGCAAGTTTTTCTACCAATTGCAATACGTGGTATTTTGCCAAAGCACGTGAGGGAAGCTATTACAAGCCTCTGTTCGTTTTTTCAATACAATATGTAGCAAAGTGCTTGATCCTTGTACACTTGATGCTTTACAGGCGGATGTGGTTGTGACTTTGTGCAAAGTTGAGATGTACTTCCCGCAGTCGTTTTTCGACATAATGGTGCATTTGATTCTTCATTTGGTGCGTGAGATTAAATTGTGCGGTCCAGTGTTCATGAGGTGGTGCTATCCTTTTGAAAGACACATGGGTACATTGCAAGATAAAGTTAGAAATCGGGCTCACCCGGAAGGAAGTATGATTCAAGGGACCGTGGCCGAGGAGATTGGTAATTTTATGGCCGACTATGTAGCCGTTGCTGAACCTATTGGTATTCCTACTTCTCGACATGAAGGTAGACTTGATGGTCATGGCACAATCGGGTCAAAACGAATGTCACCTGATCGAGAGAAGTTCTTACA